CCCCCCCCCCCCGCCTCTCTCTCACTATACCCATGCACTTCATCCCTCAACTCCAGAATATTCCCAACCCCATGGAAAACAGAAATATTCCCCGTTCCCAAAAGTGGTGATCGCTCAGAGCTCAAAAACTATCGTCTTATCTATATATCAGTTTTTTTGATGGTTATGGATTTAGTCATTGCAGATTAACTACACCGTCCCTGGAGCAGAACAAACCAGTTGGTGGCCACCAGCACGGTTTCTGGTCCCATCGATATGCCCGTGATCCTCTGGCTTCTATTTCACGTGCACGGTCGATAACACTCGACAAACAGGGAGAAACCAATCTGGTGTCGTTGGACATGTCGAAAACTTTGATCACGTTTGGCATTTAGGTTTACTGACCATCCTACCGCAGTTGGGCTTTCCCTCGGAACTAGTCCTGGACAGTAAGCCACCTCCAAGATCGCAGCAACTCTGTCCTAATCGATGGAACATTATATAGTTTCGTGACTGAGTGTCCGCGTCCCTCAGGGTTTTATGCTTTCATTTCATTTTTTCTAATATTAACCGATGACCCCTCTCCGACTTTATATCCTGCTCATACCCTCGCCGATGGCGTCACCCAACGCTCCTTTTTGCTCCATTCTCCTTCTTGCACCGCTAACACCAGCATTAGGGATGGCTGCTTATCCATATTTATCTGCCTAAATTATGATTTTAGTCTCACTGGTTTTGATGCAATCGTGTTATCTTCAGTGCCGGCAAAACCTATCTTATGCCCATTTCTCTTAAAAGTGAATTTTTCTCACCCTCATTAAAATCTGGCTTGAAAATTCGCTCACGCCCCAGACTGGAATATTGCAATCCGGTAGGGTAGAGCTTTGTTCAGCTATCTCTTCTTGATTGAGTTCACAGTAAAACCACTGGGTTAATTAACAACTCGTTCTTTACCTGTAACTGGTAGTTACCAGCACACAGTCAAGTGGGTGTTTCCTTTGCCATTTTGGGTTTTGTTCTGCTGAACTTGCCTCTTCGGTCACTCCCCATTTCTTCCTGTATATCCCTTACACAAACGGCTAGCCACCCATACCAAATGACTGTCCACAAGTGTCACAGTTCTTTCTTTCAATCATCTTTTCCCAGGTCCAATCTCCAGTTGGGTCGATGGATTCGCACTGCTGATGAGACACAATCAGGTCGAAACAGCTGTACAGTGCTTCCTAGCTTTTCAGTTCACGTTTCATTTGCTCTTTACATGAGGAAATTCACCACAGAAACAAACCAAATACCTTATTTGTCTCATGTAACAGTTCAACTGTAGAACCTCCTCTATTTCGTGTTCTGTCCTACTTCCACTCTTAGCTTCAGAGGCAGAATCAATAATCTGGTTCTAGATTGAATGTTCCCTTTACCCTCTCATGTGCAGCATATCCTTGGATTATGGGATTNGATTTACCCCTTTTACTGTATCCACTTATGGGTAACCAATATTTTTTCAAACAACGTTCCGATTGATGAAACCCGATGTTGCTCATGACCGAAAAGTAAACCAAGTGAAAGCTTCATTAGCATCAGAAAAAAAATATATATATATATATTTGTTTGTTGCGGTTAGGAACATCTAACCCACTTACAAAACATCGTATCATAGCATTGATTCTTCATTGGACTGGCTCTGAAAGAGCTTTCTATCCAATGGTCACCTGGTGTTGCAAACAAGTATATGAATGAACTGGCAAAAGATTAACGGATACGCATGCCTGACGAGCGACAAGAACCGCGAAACCGGTCGTGTGCTTCCAGGGAAATTTTGTCCAGTAATTCACATACTACATATCATCATCGTATATATATATGTGTGTGTATATGTATATATTGCCCTTTCGGGTGGTTGTGGCGCAGTGGTTTAGTCGCTATCACTGGTGTGCTTTGGACCCCATGGTCTGAGGTTCGAGCCCCGCCGACACCACCCAACTTTGGTGGTAGGCAGCTTTGCTGTCGTCCGGCTCAATACCACGCCTAACCTAGCGGGGCCTTGTGGTTTTCCATTCCCGGCGCTCAGGTTACCGCTTTCTGTCACTGAAGAACAGATACTCGTGACCATGGGGGTTACTCCATCTGCTGTTCATCACATTAAAAAAGTGTGTAATAATAATAATATATATATATATATCCGTAAACAAGTAGCAAAACAACCGTAAAAAGTTGTGAAAAGGGCATACCAAATCAGCTCCACTTGGTGAATGAGCCACGGTATCCTCCAGGCTAACTTGACGACGCCTCAAGTACATGGTTTGTGCCGCACGAACCTCGTCCATGACAGATTGCTGGTTCCCAATAGAAAGAGTGCCTTGAGCTGTGGGGCGATTTTCTCGGGTAGTAGACGGTGCCAAAGTTAGACTTCGTCGAGATGTTCCACTACGACGAGCGGAACCGCGCAAATCATGCACGGCTAAAGAAGGCGAGCGTGAACCACCGGGACTGAGGGAATGTACTCGAGTTAGAGAGCTGTGTGGTTCGGAATGAGCCACTTCACCATCTTCTACTGCATTATCTTCTGCAAGGTAAGGTTAATAATCCGGAAGATGAATGAATTTAGATACAAAAGTGCCGTTAGTGATGATTTGGAACAGAATGCTTCGGTAAATTGAAGATGCGAGAACGTTGGTTGATTTTTCACAAAATTTGCAGCGTTCATGACAATTGTTTTCAGACTGGTGCATAGAAGCCTAAGAAGAGCTGAGAGGTATGAAAGATCATCAGTTGAGATAGGTGTACCCATAGCGGCTGTTCTACCATTACTCTTCCAAGGAAATACTTCTTCCGTACCCTATAGGGTGTTTGTGT